AGGAGGAAGAGGAGGAGGAAGAGGAGGAGGAAGAGGAGGAGGAAGAGCAGGAGGAGGAGCAGGAGGAGCAGGAGGAGGAGCAGGAGGAGCAGGAGGAGGAGGACAGCTCTGATATAATCTAACACTGGTGGGGAAAAAAGTTTGCCGTTTGGCTGGTCTTGGTGAGGGAGGGGAATGGCAGAAATTTGGCCCTGTTGGAAGATCCGTGTATGTTGAGCCCAACTTGGAAAACTGGCTGGCTTCCCAGCTTCTCACTTTTCACCGCCGTTGCAACCTGTCTCGAAGCTTGGGCGATAATGGGCACTTTGACCAGAAAAACGCAGGTTGTGTGCACTTGCATTGACCATGCCCAAACACGCAAAACTCACGTGTTCTGAGGACGGAGATGTTCTGAAAATCGGAGAGTATGCCACCTCGGTGACGATCTTGACCAAGGACGGACCAACGGTGACACACAACACCCACCGCGGTGTTCGGTGCAAGCCCTGGTCAAAAGAGGTCGGGAAACAGGTCGAAACAGCTGAGGCCGCTTGGCCAGTTCCCAGGCTGGTTTTTTGTCAAAAGAATTCATCCCAAAAATTCATCCATTGGTCCATTGACCACTCCAATGACTCTCCGCTTCCACATGCTTTTTGAGTCCGAAAGCAACCCGGTGAAGGTTGAAAACGCATTGAAGATTTGGGGGTGAACCCTTAAGGAAAGTTCATTGAAACCGGTGAAGCCTGGTGAGTGCCCCTCCTAAAAACACCAACAACACGCCACACTGATTTCGCATGATTTCGCTGATGTTCGTTTGTCCCCATCGATGTGCCACGCGCTGATGGCCCCCCTTTCGCACATGTTGGGTTTCCAGCCGCCGTTGCCGCCCACCAACGGCAGGTGGTCTTCGATTGCGCCCCGGAGATTCCAGCACCAAGCAGCCAGTGTACCGCGGAGAAGAACCTCAACAACTTTGGATCGGTCAAGAAGATGAAGGCCCAGTGGCGCATGTTCTTCTCCTGGTCCCTCAAGATGGCCCTTCCCCAAAACATATGCGACGAACATGGGACGCAAACGAAACACGGGTCGTGCCGCGAACATGAGCTGCACCTTGTGAGCTGCGGCGCAGGGAGTGTTGAGGATCAGAGGGAACTCAGAAAATCAGACTGGCCCAACTCAGATGAACCAAAAACAGAATGTAGGCTCTTGATCAATAAGCCCCCCCATATGGAGAGCCTTTCGAATCCAAATACGGCTTTGATGGATCAAAAGTCCCAAAAGTCCGCACAACTTTCGACTCCCATGAGCTCTTGGTCCACCGTTTGATGGCAGTCTTCCGCGGCTTGTCCCAGCCGTAGACTGAACAAACCCGTGGGGTTTGGGAGTCACACTCTTGGAACCATAGAAAATGTCCGTAGAAACTACCTCGCTAGGAATGGGGACGACCTTCCATTCCGAAAACACGGCCTTCTAACTAATCTATGTGAAATACATGCATAATCATGCATACTTTATATTGTTATATTGTACAGAAATATAGTGTATACATGTTTGTATTCTTTGGAGGTTTGGCTTGGCTGCACGAACGATTTGTTGGTGGTTTGGTCTTTGTGCGTGAGGGAGACCCTTGAGCTGATGGTGTTTTTAACCCAGTTAACTCGTTGCCATCGTCCAGTTTGGAGGCTCTTTCGCGTTAAGCTGCGTGTGAAACCAACCGGGTCACTCTGTGAATCTGTGCATCCTTCGGCGGCGATATACCGCCGCACCTGGCGCGCGGCGCCAGGCTAATGGTTGGGTCTTCAACGCGAAGAAGTTAAACTTCAAGAACAAGAGATATGGGACAGGACTGGGCATACTGGGACTGTATGGGACCGTCCTTCTTGGTTGATCCTTCTTCCACGAAAGCTGGCGAGTTTACTCGCAGCACGAGGCACATCAAACAATCCTTAGTTGTTCAACAGAACAGTCTGGCACTATGTACATGTCCACATTTGCTTGGTCCCTGGAGCAAATCCAAGATGCCCAAGGTACGATCAGTTGTTGAGGAACATATCATAAAACATCCATTCGGATCCTGAATAGCACATCTAATATCCTCCCTGTGATGGAACAACAATCAGTTGGGGACCCAAAAGGAATGGCACCAGATGGGAAGCAGCACGAATCGCTCCAGGCGACAGACCCGACAGACCCGAGGGCACCCGACAGACCCGAGGGCACCAGACAGACCCAACGCTCTCGGCAGACAGACGAGCCGTCGATGAGGTCATCCCCTTGATATTTACCACTCCCTGAAATCAGGGTGACGTGGGATCGCACCACCTCTTTGGCAAGGAACGAACAGGCGAAGTGGTGGCTCTGATGAAGCGCAACCTGCATACCGCAGGAGCCCTACCTCATTGTTGACCTGGTGTTCTAGTGTTTTCCGTCCTTAGTAGGACGATGGTGCTTCCGGATTCAGCCTATAAAAAGAATGCATGATGAGCCAGGAAGCCGTTCCCGAGCCATCGCTCCCCTCAGCTCGCTCCCCTCGGCTCGCCCCGGTCACATCGGCACTCTGTCGCCTCCTCCGGCGACCGGACACGGCCGGAGGGGGGCACCGGAGCGAGGGAAAGCGACCGCTGCAGGAGTGCCCGCGGGCTCCTTTTGGGGCTTCAGAGGTGGCAAACCGGCCCTGGAAATGTCCACCACCTTGAAGGGCAGTGGCAAGCTTTTGGTCGCTCGGATGCGCAAGATGAGTGAGTTGACGCGAAGGAAGACATGGCGTGCGAGGAGATGCAACGAGCGTCAAGAAGAAGACTTGAAGACTTGGTGAGAGAAAGGGCCAATGGTCGTCTACTTGTTTGAAGCGAGGGACCTGAATGCATGGCAAGCAGGCAAGCAGGCATCAATAAAATGAATCGAGAAAGGCAAAAGAGGGAAAGAACATGAGAAACAAACCAAAGATCTATATGGTGTATGTGTGATAACGTGAAAGGATTCGCAACTCCTTGACATCAGCTCTAACGGCGGTAGATGACAGGATTGTTCTTGCCTCGCACCATTGACCCCCCGGCGGTATGAGGTCTCATTTGCTTCGCACCTGGACCATGGTGTCGACTATACCCAGCCCACTTTCCAGAATAGACAGGACACCGAACGACGTCGGATCGCTGCTGCTTTCGCCGACCATCTCTGAACCCCGCCGAGCCTCCCCCGATCTCTCTAGCCTTCCGCCCCCATCCCATGGGCGTCCCAAGAGCGGGGATCACGAAGATAAGGCCGAAGAAGACAGACTAAGAAGACGCTTCGGGCGGTGAAAGCGAAATCCGAAATCGTTTTGGAAGAACCGCATTTCACTGAGATCCTATGAAATCAACGAGTTCCAGTGAAACCTTGTGAAAGCAAAGAATTCCTGTGAAATCCTGAGGGTGTCTTCGTGTAGCTTCTATATTCCTCCCATTTCGTGCCCTCTTTGTTGCTGGACATGTGACATCCAAGCCCAAAACGAGAGCCATCTGAGGTGGTCTACGGCAATCAACACAATGGGGGAGTGGTGAAAGTGCCTCGGTGACGATTTCCCCACAAGGCCTCCAAGACATTCAAAGACCTTCAAGACCTCCAAGAGAGGTTAAGTGGCCTGAACTAGGACCCTACTCCGGTACCTATGGGATGGTCGAACTAGGGTTCTTCAACTTCTTTTGGCTGGATCGAGCAGTTTCGAGTGTTGGCTCGTTGGCTGCACCCGGCTGCACCCTACTTGAAGCCGAATCCAGGTTTCGTCCGTGGGATCGCGGGCGAACCGACTGAACGTCGGACGGGACGGGTTTCCCCAACGAATGGATCGAACAGGTGGAAAAAAAAGGCGTCTAGGCTCAGAGGCCTTTCGCCTGACGGTTCACGGGAACCCGTGGGTGGGCTGCTAGGGGCGACTCTAGGGGCGACTCAGCCGTGATTTGTCCCAGGAAAATGGCTCGGGAGTCGCTCTTTGGGTCTTAGATGGTCATAGAGATCCCGGGATCCCTTGCACACAAGGTGAAGGGACACCAACAAAGATCCCGAGGGGGGGGGGCTGAGCTCATGTTCAATTAGGATGTTAGGGCAATCTGTGATGTGTGCAGGACTGTCCGCCAGCTGTTGTTTTGGACCCGCGGCCACATACCTGGATCTACTAACATCTACTAACTAATGCAAAATGTTTGCCTATAGTATCCTATGGTATGGATATGTATGGATGAAACGGCAGAACTCTTGCATCGCTGGACGATCCAGGTCTTAAAGCACAGCTTCATCGTTCCAGAAGCCGAAGCTGGCTCTTCACTCCAGAAGCAGAAGCTGCTTCCAAACCACATGGGCTCCTCCCTCGAGTGAACGGTTCGGGTGTGACTTCCCCCGTGTTTTTGTGTTCTTTTGTCTTCACAATGTTGACAGACAAAGGCCGGAGGACCGGATGAACCCGGTAATTCTATAACTGTCATGTTCAGCAGGTGCTGGGCAGAAGACCAGAGCGTGGTTTTCAGCCATCCTGACGACTGTCTTCAGCTTCAGGTCTTCCTCAACGACGAACAAATTGGCATTGCTGGGCGTCGGAAGCTGTATCAATATGTGCCATGGCTAAACACATCTACGTATACTGAATACTGTAAGTACTGTTTCGTTTTTGTCGATGTTGTTTGCTTGGGTCTTACGCCCCATACTAACATAGAGTCACACGGCTGCTAGATCAAAAAAGCATCAAAAAAAACTTAAAAAAATAATCAAAAATAGAATAAAAAGATGATCCAAAAAATATATTCCTGGATAGGCCTCTTCTGCTGCTCTCCTGGCCCTGTGGTCTGCGGGTCCTCTGGTTCTTTAGTCTGCTGGTTGACTGGTCCTTTGCTCCCCTGGTCCCTTGGTCCTTTGGTCCCTTGCTCCTCTGGTCCACAGGCCCTTTGGCCCCCTGGTCCTTTGGTCCTGGTCCGGTCCCGTGGTCTCCTGGTCCTTTGCCCTCCTGGTTCTCTGGTCTGCGGGTTTCCTATGGTTTTCTCCTTTTTCTTTCACTGCTGCTTTTTGATGCCTTTGGCCCTTTCTCTTGTAGCTTATTGGCCGCAGTTTTCCTGCAAACGTACAATGCTTTTGGCTTCGGTTGCCTTAGGTCCTTGTGTGCATTTTTTTTGATGCCCTTCACTGAAAGGACGATAGGGTACATAGTTTCTAGTGATTTCTTTTGTGGCGCTGTGTTTTAACGTTTGGTTCGCTTTGAACGGGGCGCGCTGCGCCCTCCCCCCCC